GTGGCAACGTCCTTCTCTAAATTTTACTCCTGCATTGCCGACAAAGGGGTGAGTCAACTTGGCGTGGCCACTTCCTTCTCTAAATTTCACCCCTGCATTGCCCACAAAAGGGTGAGTCAAGTTGGAGCGACCACTTCCTTCTCTCAAGTTTACCCTCAAGTGGCTCACCAAGGGTGACTCAACTTGGAACGACCACTTCCTATTCTAAATTGTACCCCTGTATTGCCGACAAAGGGGTGAGTCCACATGGAAGGGCAACTTCCTTCTCAACCTTTTACCCCTGCATTGCCGATCACAGTTTGAGGCCACTTGGCCTCCAAACAGGCGAGTTTGAAGAGCCAGCTCGTGCAATCAATTTGTATAAATATATGTATACAAGTATGCAATGAGACCATCATGTATAAAGCGGTGTCTAATACCTTTCAACATCTTTCAAGCGGGATTCCTTGGTTACCTCTTTTGGGGCGATGTTCTGGTTGTTTCTGGCTTCCGAAGCAGACACCAGGCTACAGCTTGCTAATGTGGTGCAGTTGCAAGCTGCGGCTTAGAGCACCAGCCATGGACCTGGGTCAGTCCGAAAAAAAAGGGCTAGGCAGCAGCAAGGCGTCTCATGGTGTTTTGACATCTATATTTTAGCATCAAGTAGACGTGTCAATCTTGCAGGCGTCAGGTGGATGTGGCTGTGTTGCAGCTGATGTTCAGTCAAGTTAGAAATTCCAGGAGGTCTGAGTCCGAGCATGGAAATGGACCTACGCTAGAGGGGGGGTTAAACGGGCCACCGACACCGGCGCCGGCTATACCGCACCGGGCACCGGCCACCGGCCCGGCCACCGGCCACCGGCCATGCCACCGGCCACCGGCCACCGGCCACCGGCCACCGGCTACCGGACCGGCTACCGGCCACGGGCCACTGGCCACCAGCCACCGGCACCGGCCACCGGCCACCGGCCACCGGCTACCGGACCGGCCACCGGCCACCGGTCACCGGCACCGGCCACCGGCACCGGCCACCGGCACCGGCCACCGGCCACCGGACCGGCCACCGGACACCGACAAAAAAAGTATATACTCTGAATCCAGTAATGTCATTTTTAAGTGAACACGTGCTTTCCATGTTGGGATCCAGTATTGTCATTTTTTAGTGAAAACGGGTTTCCCAACATATTATACCCATTCATCTGGATATTCATGTTGTAGAGGCCTCTTTTTTCTGCTTCCTGGATGTTATGCCTGTCATTTTACAGAGCATGTTCTTCCACTGCTCCTTAGCCACACCTGGATGTGGCTTGGCATACTATATAAGCACCTTTGCCTGTCATTTTATAGAGATTCTATCCCTTGCCACTCATTGTTTAGAGGGCAGCGTGACCAGCAAAGCACCCAACAGGCCACCCACGGGGGATCCTGATGCAAAATAATGTAAAAACCTACCCTGAACTAGTGCGTGGCAACAGATGTCGGTTAGTCGTGGTGTTTGCACCGGAAGCCAGTGGCAAGTGGAACAAGGAAACGGCGGAATTTCAGCAGCCGTTCAGTCATCCATCGTGCGGTGGTCTGCCAGAGCTCAGCACCCTCCTTGAACAGTACCCCAACACCCTCCCTTTGGCATCCCGCCTCGTTCTTCGATTTGCCTTTCCTATCCCCCCCTTAAATGCAAGTGGCCCGGCACTTGGTCAGCGGAAACTGTTGGTGCAACACCGGACCAGACCACCACCGACCTATGTCAACAAAACAATGCAAGAAAAGACCTAGTAGAGGTTGAGGTTTCCAGTTCTCCCTGCCATCTCGCCTGGCGACGTTGTTCTGTATTGGCCGGCTTGCAAGCATCGTGTGGCCACCAAGTCCGGAAGAACAAATTAGAGTCATTAACAAACACTTTGACACCACGGCCGCGCATGCCAAAGGTTTTGCCGTGGTTTTTTTGTTGCGTAAGTCTGTAAGCGTGGACCGTGTTGGCCTTCCGGCAGAACGTCTCATTCAAAGTCACAGAAGGAAAGTCCACACAGGAAATCCAAAGTTGAGCAGTTGAGTTGGCTATGGGCCAGGCAGGCGGCTGGGGGCTGGGAAACTTCTGGGTCTTGGGCCAAGAGCTGCCCCAAGAGAGGGAGATCCTCTTGCCTGCACACGCGTGAGGGAGGCGCCCCACCGAGCAATGAGAGCCGTGACTGTGGCAGGGCATATTTGTGCTGGGACTGTTCGGGCTGTGCTGTGGGCAAGAGAGCGGAGGAACTGTGCTGCTTCTGTGCTTCATCGCCCCTCGGCCTTCAACGGCGAAGACCACCAAAGGGCACCTCCCCGTGCCTTGCAGCTCTGGGTAGTAACTCTCCTTGGCCTGTCTTGCTTCATGCAAGGCTGCTCCTGCATATCGACCTCCTTGTTGGCGTGGTTGGCCTGCACTGTCGACTGCGAGCTGTGCCCCGTAAACCACAGCGGGAGGCCATTGGATGACCTCTATGCGACGTTCATCAAGGCGGCAGGGGGTGGGGATGTTGAGGTCGGTGGCCCTGGTGTGCATTGTTACTCTTGCTCCAGCCTCCCGGCGTATTTGTGCCTTGTGCTGCAGCTATCTTGAGTGGCCCCCCCGCGGCTTCGGAAAACCCTGGTCCTGGCATAGGAAACTGGAAGGCGCGTGCGATAGGAGGAAACCGCTGCAACTGTTGAACTTGGACCTCTGGGATATCACAGCAGAAGTGAAGGACCAAAGCACAGTGAGGCTACCAAAAGATTTCCCACGAAGCCTGAAGACGAAGAGAACCCGAGTGAACGATGGAAACCAGAAGAAAGTCATGCTGGCTGCCTTGCAACAAGTGGTGATAAGTGGTGGGACCTCCAGTGTCGACGATCTAAGCTTTGAATTTGCTTTGGATCACGGTGGCTGCTAGAGCATCTGGACGATTCTTGCCAATCACCACCAATGATGAAGGGTGCCTGTGGGTGTTCCAGGTAGGTCAAGAGGTGGGAAAGGATGTCAGCATTCACTGTGCGGAGGTAGATCTGAATAATGACTAGTTGGAAGTTCTGCCGCTGAAGGCCCGTAGCCGTCCACCCATTGCCCTCTTTCATGTATATAAGTGAAGGCCTGGTCAAAAAGGTCACACGAGAAAGGTGTCCGGCCCCTTATGTTGGTGTCTTCCCGTATGAAATTATGATTCCAACCGGCAGTTGCAATTTTGACAAAACCCTGACAAAGCGCCAGGCGTGCCGACTTCACAGGACACCAGTTCAATTTTTAGCTGTCAGGGCCCCTCCAATCAGAGAGGCTTTCAGGCTTTAATAAACACCACAGTTTCCCCACGTATTGAAGCGCCACCCCTTGCAACGTGCTGATGCAGTAGCAGCTGCTGAGATGTGTTTTGTTCAGGCGAGACACCGGAACATGCATCCACAACGAAAATTTTTGCTGCAACACGCGTGGGTGGGGTGTGCCTGGCACTGGAATGCGCGGGTTTGGACGATGCCACGATGCACTAAGCCACTATAAGTTTAGCAATTTTAGGGTTTGCAAGACACAAACCGCGCAGAAAAACGTTGCAGGACCTAGAGGTTGCAGCTGAATTAAGTTGCGGCCCGGAGCCTTTGGGATTTCTATTCACCGTTGATGGCATGATTGTGACTGTGGACAAAGGCAGCTCAGCTATGAGCAAAAGCGTTAGTTTGCAAGTAGTTTCTGCCATGGCATTAGGGTTTCACCTCCGGGAGTCGTGTTGTTCTCTTTGGTTGCTGTTGTGTGCGGAACAAATCATTATTTTTTATTTTATTTTTATTTTTGTCATGGCCTCCTGATTGCGTTTTGCACAGTTTTTGTTACGTTCTCTGGGAAGGCCCCTGCGCTATCTCCTGTTGATGTTGTGTCGATTTTTGAGTTTCCATTAATGTCTAACTAATAGTCAATAGTCCTGACAAATGGTTCGGTTACAATTGCACTCATTTGTTTATGATCCACCACGGTGTTTGCAGTATAGTTATAGTTGTGCATTTATTTTGTCTACTTAATTTCACGACTGCGTTTTTCCCTCTATTCCCCGGACAAGGCTCAGTCAGTGCAACTTTTTTTCGCCATCCAGTCTTTCAACCCATTGATGCCCACAAGCAGAATCCTACAGCAGATCAGCCGACAGCCTACGGCCTAGAATTCACTGTTTCCAATCAGTGGCAAGATGTGTTAAAGGGCCTGCAGCCCGGGGCGTACTGTTTGCTCTTTACAACTGTTTTGTGTGTCAGAGACAAACATTGAACCTAAAAGTGCAAGACGGATGTTCTTTTTAGGGCTGCTTGAGTTGTAGGGATCAACATCGCGCACTAGTCGATGAACTGAATGTTTACATTTTATGAAACATTTTATGTACATGTAGCATGCATGTTATATAAGTTATATATATATATATCTGCATGTATTTTTTCTTGGTGGTACTGTTACTTGGTACTGTTACTTAGGCAGTTGGGCAGAGAGGCATGGCGTTCAAGTGGGTGACCAGATCCTTGCCATCAGCGGCTTTTCGATGGAGAAGTTCCTACAAAAAAATCCCACCGCGCGAAGTCGCATGTCCTTAATGGGGCCCCAACGCGTGGTCCTTCGACTCAAAGCTGAAAAGGGCCATGTCAAAGAAGCCATCCGAACGGTTCAGTCGAAGCCGATCACCCACCAGCGTGCCGATTTTAGGCGTGCTTTGCAGGAAGAATCTCAACGTTTTTCCTTCCGACACTTTATCGCTGAATTTGGATGTTTTTTGTTTTCTTCATCAATTTCCTGTAGAGTCTTGATGGGTACAATTGTTAAATGGCACTCCTTTTTTTTCGGGCACATATTTTACTCGGAGAGGATTGTTCTAGAACCTCGTTTGGAACAGCAGAGGTGAGGCCTTGCAAAAGGAACTGTTGCATTGGCGGCCGCGCGACACCTGGCCGTTCCCAGGGTTGGCTGCAAGCTCTGTGGATGCCGTTGTGGAAGTCAACCAGTTGTGCTTCGGCCATGACGAGAGCACGCAGAGCGGCCGGCGGCC